AACAGAAATATTTGACCTGAAATTGATAGATTTTACCGAGGGATTTGAGCCCATTATGAACTAGCTTTGGCCATTTATGCCGAATAATTGGTGAAGAACATGACCCGTTAGGGTGTCGGTGGGAGTGAGCACTGGTATGGTAAGGTACACTTCTGGTAATTTTTTTGGTAGCCAAAAATTTTTGGTAATGATTTTTAGTACCAATAGGTCCAATACCACGTTAAGGATATTTTTGGTGCAATTTGTTACTTGCTAAAATTTTTTGGTCTAATCATATGCCCTAACATTACCATATCAATACTTGCCAAATTCATTGATATATATTTTTCATTTGCAAATTTTAAGTAAGGCGGTGATATAAGATAATATTTTTTTATTATTTTTTATATAATTTTTTTTATTATTAAATGAGTGAATATATTTAATATTATGAATTTTAAATAAATAAAAAAATTAATTATTTAAATAACCTAACATTACCATATCAATACTTGCCAAATTCATTGATATATATTTTTCATTTGCAAATTTTAAGTAAGGCGGTGATATAAGATAATATTTTATTATTATTTTTTATATAATTTTTTTATTATTAAATGAGTGAATATATTTAATATTATGAATTTTAAATAAATAAAAAAATTAATTATTTAAATAACATAAAATTATATTAAAAAAATGATATAAAAAATTATTCTTAAATTATTTTCCTTTTAAATACTATGAATGTAACTTCGAGTGAAACAAATTTCAAGTTGCTATAAAAATGATTTCTTCCTTCTATTTTGGGCTTACTTTCCAAGTCCAATAGCAACAGATTTTAAGAAATGCTTATAACAAATTTGTGACTTGAGATAGAACTACGTAAATACTTTAGATCTTAAAATGTGCATATAAATTGATTGGTAACACCAATTAAAAGGCGAAAAGGATTGCCCACTGGAAGAAACATGCATCACTAACACCGGTTAACAGACAGAAGGATTGCCGCGGAAATGAAAGACATCAAAGCATCACTGCAAGTTAATTGGTATTGTCCCCTTATTCCATGAGACTTTGCGAGTGGTTAAAAGACGAACATAAACAGCTTCATACATTTGGAGGCGGCCAAATCTTCTCAAATAATTCCTCAACACGCTTCACTTGCTCGACATACCCATCTAGTCCGGAAGCCAGAAGCTCCACAGATGCGGTTCCCATTGATGATGCAAGCGTTAATTGGTCCCACTTTTTGAGCTGGAAATAAAGAATATCAGTGAACAATCTGTTCATGGTATTATGCATAGATGGAGGATTTAAGGGGCCCAGGGGGGCCATGATGATGATAATGGTGATTTTAATTCATGGAAGGGATGCAAACAAGAATCAAGTGTATTTCATCCACTAAAATGGCCGTGATAGATGATGATAATGGCGATTTTAGTGTTAGGTTCTTTTACTTTGGATGCTTTATTCTTCCCAATGTTTGGTTCTTTTGCTCCCAACATCAAAAAGTAGTTAAGATGTTTGTCAAAGGAGCACCAACACAAAGCAGATGATAGGTTGACATACCCACCAAAAAGGCTAAATGTCTATATTTTGAAACTCTAGTTGCTAGGTGATGGGAAAACTAATTAAGGGGAGGAGAACCCACAGGTATACAGCTTTAGATTCACATCAACTGCGTTCAGGACCAGGAAGAGATTCAGGGTAGGGCCCTTTTTTTCCAACTCTAACCTTGAGTCTTTTTTTCCATTGCAAAGAGGACCAGGGAGAAGGACCTTTGTCCTTTCTTTCTCCCTGCAAACCTGTCCTCACCTCCTTTTTTCTAAATTTTTTAGGGCCAGGGTGGAGGCCATGCCTAACCTTTGGCTCATGTGATTTAGCCCCTAACTGCGTCTAAGATTAGTGATTATTATGTACAGAAAATTTCACTCACTCCCCAGTTCTACAATTAATTGCTTATGTTTGAAATGACTGCTTAGCTCAAATTCAATCAATTAAGCATTAATCAGAGATTAGTTTGGAAAAAGAATGAGATTTTGGAATTAGAGTATACCTCTTCAGTAGTGAAATTGTAGTTGGTAGCTGACTGTGGGGATAACCTCTCAATGAAAGAGTACTTCTCATCAGGAGCTGTGGTGGATTCTTTAAGGGACTGTAATATCTTAAGAGGTGCAACGATATAATCAACCCTGAGAAAACAGAAGCACAGGAAAAATGAACATCAAGTTTCACTCAATTCATGTTTCCAATTAAAAACAATTAAATGTCAGTTATAAGGTTACCCCAGAAGACTGAATAAATCTTGCTTGTTTCGAACAGCTGCTGCCATCAACTTTGATTTGTAGCCATATTTGTGAATGTAATTATAAGCTTTAGTCACCTAGAGTGAAAAGCAAGTGTGCATTTGATTCAAAAATCATTGCTTGTCAAAAAACTTGTCTCAACAATGTGTAAAATAATCACTAAAATCTAGTAACATAAACAATCTAATCCAATGGGACTGCTATAAGAATTAGCCACGCAACCAGTCATAAGTATATGTTAACATACTTCAGAACTGCTGATGAAAAAAATTGTGCTTCCAAACTCACCAGAACAATTTGGTTATTCACACGAGAACCAGTAATCAAATGAAGTTAGTCGACTAAAACCTATCAACACAACTGCAACATAATTCTTAAAATCTAAAGATAAAATTTTTGGCTCAACTTACCAAAGCTAAACCAGGATCTTCCCCTCTTCTTATAGCAGCTTCAATCTCAGGGTCACCAGAATGTTTGCGTGCCCAGTCCTGAGTGAAACAAAACAAGATGCACTTTAATGCTTGCACCAAATAGTTGCATCTCAAAAATGTCACAATAAATGTCTCAAAACTTAAATTACCCGAATACGACCAACAAAAATCTGAATAACAGAAGCACCTGCTTGGGCTGCAGCTGCTGCTTGAGCAAAGCTGAAGAAATATGAGAGAAACAGCATAATCACATGATAAGCACAAATTAAAGTTCATCTGGAGAGAATCTCTCCTTATAAATCAGAAGCACATTTCTATCATTATTCATGTACCTGTATACAAAAGTCAAATGCGTCTCTATGCCCTCAGATTCCAGCAATCTTGAGGCCTCTATTCCCTGAACAGGAAACCAAGGCGGCAAAAGAACTGTTAGTTCTCAGGTACCAAGAGAATTTGAGATCTTAAGACCATTACAAATGCATTAACAGCTATTCTATTCAGACACTTACTTGCCAAGTTGAAGGAATTTTGAACAGTAAACGTTCAGGAGGAACATTAATTTCATTGTACAGTTTCAACAAGTCATGAACCTGCATATTTTCATAAAATCCCAGCATCAGTCTGCACAATTAAAGGTCTAAAGAAAGATTAAAAAAAAAAAAAAAAAAAAAAAACAAAACGACAAAAAATGTTCAATGAGAAATGTGATTTAAATAAAGGAGAGAAAAATCTAGGATATTTTATTTGTCTAGGAAAAGTGATAGTGCTGGTGTAATTTTTCAAGAACTGAACACCATAAATCTATTGTTTCCACTTGCCAACTTCCATTGTATAAAACACTAATGATGGATACACATTATGAACTAAGGACTTTTGAGTACATATACATGTTCCAAATGCTGGATAAGGAGCCTCCGAAGCAATATCATATCTCAAGTCACTAATTGTTGCTCTATAAGCCTAAAGAGTTGATTTTAACCCAATGACAAGAAATAAATAGTTTCAAAATTAAAACAGATGCCCAAAGATGCATATCTTATGTAGTCTACCCTGCAATAATTTCTTCAATTTCTTAATTACCACTTGTATTTAAATATTATATCCATTTAGAAGCCTTCAAGATTAGAAGCTAAAACTAAAAACAAGCATAAGAAGTGCAACGTTCTCAACACAGAACGAAGAAAGACTAACAGCTATTCTATATGGTTGAACAAAACTGACAACATTCATGATCTTTTCTTTTTCTTTTTTCTTTCTTTTTTTTTTTCCTTATTGGTGCTATTGTAGACAGTATGTTAACATCAACTTACTAAAAAAATGTTAATATCCAGCTTGAAATAAAAGTTTCAACATGCTAACAGCATTCAAATTTGCAAAACATAATTACATGACTATTAAATGATGCTACCATAAATCAAACAAAAAGAGTGCAGTATGAAAAAATTTAATACCTTCCTAATAATACCATGTGTGTCATAAGCAAGGCGGGCATCAACTTCTGTTGAAACTCGACCAGGAACTAGTTTTGTCAAATCACCACCAACATTCACTAATGCCTACACTTCAATGACAAGAGAATAACAGGCAAATGCATAAGATTTCTCTTTATTATTGGCTAGGAATGTGAGCAATCAACAATAAAAGTCCCTTGCATTACTTAGCAGCTAAAAGAATGTCAACCTTGTTATAGAAGCAAGACAATCTCAATTCGGGGTTGTCCAACGCAGAACTACTTGATTCTGCTAAAGCCATATCCACAGCATTCTAAACACATAAGAAGAAATGAGATTTTAATAAATAATAGAAAAGATCCATAAATAGGAACGATATAAAAAATCAATTTGGAGACTGAATGCTTACTCTAAATATGGTATCCGGAAGGCTTAATATACCCAACAGAATTGAAGAGCTAACAGTAGCAGCAGTTGGTGGAAACCTATAATCCAAACAATTAGCAAAAAAAAAAAAAAAAAAAACGTTTATCATTCAATTATACACTAACCTTAAATTTACTTGCTAAATTCAATCAATGAAAAGGATTCAAATTAATACCAAACAGTTTACTCTCCCTGCTAAAATCTAAAATTAGCATTTCAACAAGTCCATACAATTTTTCAATCAAGCAAATGCCTCATTACAATAAAATTTGAATCAAATAACCAGCACGAAAATAACGATTACTTTTCGAAATCATCGAATATCACAGTATCAGGAACAATCTCACTGAAGGCAGACACAGCGTCCAATTCAGTGCACAAACCTGAATCTCAAGAAGAATCAAATCAAGACTTACAAGAATGCCAAAACACGCTGGTTAGCTGAAGATCTCAAAACGAGAGGAGAAGGAGATACCAGCATCAAGTGAAGAGGATGAGCCAGCTGAAGCACGAAAGACAGGGAAGAATCTCGGCAGCTTGAAGAGTAGAGAAGGAGCAGTGGATCCATTCGTCAACCTCAGTCTCGATCTCCCCTGTTCTCCATTAAAGATTTCATCCCAATCAGCTATACATACAGAAATTAGCGAGAGAATGGGAAAGAGGAATGGTTGTTACCGGGAAAGAAGAGGAAGAAGACGAGAGCGCTGGAGAGGGCGGAGATTGCAAGGAGAGTGACATTGTAGAGAATCCCAGCGGTGTGACTCCCTCAGACTGAATTTCAGCTTTTATACATATATATTCATTGGATATTTTAATCTCAAAAGAATGAAATATTAATTGCTACATGTAGGATTAATCACTATAACAGTCAAATCTTTGTTACATCAGTAAATCATCGTTAATCTTTTATCTCATTTTACATATGTGATTTAAATTAAAAAATAATTTAAATTTAAAATTTTTTATTTTTAATAAAAAAATAATTACTGAAACGATTTATTGTATTGATAAATTCTAACTTATATATTTTTTTGTTTTAACATCAGATGAAAAACCAAACTCTTTTCATTTAAAATTAGTATTACAGTAATTTCAACTTATATTGAATCTCCTGTAAAATGCATTTGCTTTACATTTTTATCTTTTGGATAGACGTTTGGGCTGATTTTTGCAAGGTGCGTTGTCGCTCTCTGTTTCACTGAAACAAGGAGAGTCGCTATTTATTTACCACTAATTGGATTTGTTAAATTGTATCCTATTACAACATTTAATTTTAGTACTTTTAATTTAATTTTAAAATTTTTTTAACATAAATTTTAAATAAAAAATTAATATATTATATAAATAATTATTTATTATTAATAATAAAATTAAATAAAATTAAAATTTTTTTAACATAATTTTAAATATCT